CTGTTCAGAAGTATGTGCTTAGAATTTTTCAAAAATAATTGATGACTGCTCATCAATTATAAATGGAGTTATAATATCACAACAGTAATATTTTGGGGCAGTCAAGGAAAGCTTATCAGCAAACCTGGTCATACCTTTTGTTTGTCCAGTGCATGTCTCACTTTCACTGGAGTCACATATTGCTAATTATGAATGGAATGCCTCATTAATTTACGTTTTAGAGTCTCCACCATCAAATCTTAAGGCCATAAATTGTTATTTTGAAGTATTAGACTTTTGGAATGTCTTTCTTGGAATGATACCCAAACTTAATGAATCACATGACCTAAGTAGGTGATACACAGCTATGTGTAAAACTGCCTTTAAGCATTTTAAGAATGGGCTACAGAAGACTCAGAAAAAAGCAAAACAGAAGTGCATGTTTCCTGTCTAGATTTCAAGTGTAATAAAATGGGTAGACTTTAAAATTCAGTGGGGTCTCATCAATTATTTCATCATTAATCTTTGTTTTAAAGATGTTTGAAACCACATATGATGTTTCCTGTTTTGTGATCACACACAATGTTATATAAGAGGAAAAACCATTTTTTAAAATATATTCTCTTCATACATAGAACACTGTTGGAACACTTAAAGGGAATTACAGAAAATTTCAGTGGTCTTTGGCCTTCCCGTTCTTGGTATGTGTACCCGTGTGTGTGTGTTTGTGCATGGGGGGTGTGTACTGTTGCCTTCACACTGAGCTACATTCCTAATTTTTTGTTTTTAATTTTGATAGAGGGTCTCAATGTCATTAAGTTACCTAGGATGAACTCTTTGATACTTTCGCCTCAGTATTATTTATTTAGTCATTATCTAATGTGAGCACAACACTAGGGGTTGTGCCTGTTTTAATATTACATAATAGAATTAATTTCCCCTCATTATTATATAAGTTGAGGTCATCTATCATCCAAAAATTTGCTACAAATGAAACATTAATTCTCAATACAGAAAGTAGAGAAAATGAAAATACACTGTTCTTTTGATGAAAAACTTCACTTTTTTCCCTACAACAAAATTTTTCCAAATTGTAGACAAAATACAAGAAGCAGTAAAGTGGGTTTTTAAAAACATAAATCTGAATATGGTTAGCCAAAAATAAAAACAAAGGCACAAAATAGACATTTTAGCCTCAAAACTTTAAATATTATGTATAGATTACTAGAGACTGAACTTAGGGCCTTCACACTAGGTTATATTCCTAGCTGTCTTGATTTTTTTTTAAGACAGGATCTAGTTAAGTCACTAAATTATCCAGGATGGGCTTAAATTTGGAATCCCTCTGCTTCAGCCTCACTGAATTGTACAGAGAATCAATGAAGTCATTTAAGAATATAATTATTTTTAGTAGTTTAAAAATAAAACTTCATGAAGCAGATAATTCAGAGAGAATTCTTTTGAAAAATAACTCAATTATATGATTTAAAGAGTTGTAAGAAAGGTCTGCTCTAAAGGGGAGAAAGCTTTTAGAATATATTGGTTGTTTTGTACCAAGGGCAAACTTATTTTGAACATATAATACTTATATTTTTTTCTCTTATCACAGAAGTGGGAGTAAATACATTCCAGCCCTCAATATGACTATTTGTGCTTCGGGGATAAAGAGAACTTTGCACCCTTATTTATTGCTTTTTCGTATTTCTCCACAATAACCCCATTCAGGAAAATAAAAGGCACATTTGTTTTACTGATTCCTTCTAAGCACATTATAAAGGGCAAGATATCTGTAAGAAAAATCTGTACTTAAACTAGTAGAATATAGGGCTGATAAAGCCCTTATAAGACACAGGTCAGACCTAACCATCCAGGCCAGTTTCTACCATGATCTTCAGAGCATCTGGCAGTTTCTCAGGCATTAATAGAGCAGGATTATGGGGGAATGACTCCAGATTAGACATTTCATTCTTACTGTGCGCATGCAAATAAGTTAAATATATATGATTACTGAACTCCATTGACACTGTTACAGTTTATCTAGATAGAGAACATCTCCCCAAGGTTTCATGTGCTCCCAGGCAGAGCTTTCAGAAGGTGACTGGACAATGGGGGCGCTATAGCTACCTTGCTGATACAAAGTACAGTTTGGTCAGAAGGGGCAAGTCCCTGGGATGTGACCAGACCCCGGAAGGGTGTCTATTTTCCCTCCTCAGCTCTTCCCTACTGAATTTCTGGTCATAGTGACTTAGGCAGTTTTGTTTCTGCCAGACCTTTCCTTATGCCTTTTTCTGTTTGGGGTCTCCAACCATGGACAGAAACTCCTGAAACTGTGAGGCAAAATAAACCTCTCCTTTAAATTGTGGGTGCTAGGTACTGTGTATCAGCCATGATAAAGGTGACTAGGATTTAGTTAGAGAAGTGAAGGCTCAAAAGTGGAAAAGACTGAAGCAAGAAGCAGTGAAAAAGAGGACTAAATTATATTACCGTTTCTTCACATGCTATTACATAGTTCGTCTTAAAGCAAGGACATATAAAAAATTTGACAGTACAGCACTTGCATAATTTTTGTTCAATAAATGTAAGATCTTTTCCAAGCTCTATTTTATATATGAGTTATGAAAACGAAAACAAGTTACCAAATAAAATCGAGCACAGAAAATAAAATGCTCAATTCTAAAATACACTGTCTTGTAATGGCAGAATCTCCTACTGGATCTGAAAATGTTTTCAATTATTCAGTCGATATTTATTGCACAAGCATATGCTCCTTTAGTGAAGTAGGAATTAGGTAGACATTAGGGATGAGCATGAGCGTAGACATGATAAAAACTGAAGTCAAGTGTCTTGTGTGCAAGGAGTTTTTGAGTCTTTCTAAGGTAGGTCAATCCTAAGAGCAGTATTAAAGGGAAAATTTGGCAAATAACTCCTTTAATGAATAGTCAACTATGAAACAATCTAGTTTTCTTCTTTAAGAAGAATCTGCTATCTGCTTTTACTAGCACACTGAGTAGAACTTTCCCATGTTATTTCATGACAAGCTGTTCTCCAATTTCTGTAAGTCACGCTAATTATTAATACACTAAAGTTTCATATTGTCTTATATTCTAAGTGAAACTGTCTCTTTATGGGGTTCTATTATACCCTTGATCAAGGATATGGTCCTCCTCTATTAGGCGTGGTCCCCCTAAAGAGGGATGCATAGGAAGCAATAAGGCAGGCGAACACTCGTCCAGCCAGCAAATCAACCAAATCTATCCTGACGATCAAGGGGGTGACAGGTGTTGCAGTCAGATCACCTTCACACCCTAAACAAGTGGGAAAATGTCTGCAGAGTACAGGGAGACGTGGGAATATATGGGAATTATTGGTTTGTGCTCTCAATTCTTTTTTCAGTAAAGAATATGACAAAGCTATTAAGGAGGAATATATTGATGATTTGGGGAGTGGAAAGAATGAGACGCATATTTGGTTGAGAGTCCAAAGGAGCAAAATAGGGAGGAAAAAAAGTAGGGCTAATCAGTGTGGTTAGTTAATTTAGGCGTAAAATCACATTAACCCGTCTAATTATTAATCTACTGAAGACAAATACATAAGTAGATTCATCTAGGGTTTGAATTTTGTCAAATGCTAGAAGGCAGGTGTGAAGTATATTGGCATAGAAGTGTTTTAAACACTACTACATCCACATAAGTAGAGGGAGAGCAAGGAGAGAGGACGAGAAAGAGCTCATAGGAGGACAGTGCAAGCACCGGGCTAAAGCAAGTTACAATGTAAGTGACACAGTAAAGGGGTCCCTCAGTTTAAAACTGGGTGGTAAAGAAATAGCAACTAAGTAGGAGAAAGGTCAATGTATAACATCTAATAACTATGCTTACTCCTTTCTTCCACACATTCATTTAGAAGTCTAAAAACTGTTTCCTTGTCTTCCAAATCAACCTCTTTCCAGGCTTATTACAACTTTCCTGGGAACATTTTTTTCACAAGGTTTCTATTATCTTCCATTATGATTTTCCTATTTTTTGCTCATTTCTAAATATTCTGGGTTGATCTGACAATGGTCAGTGTTGTCCAAATATTATCCTTGGTTTTTCCCTAAACGTGCCAAGATACTCCTCAGGGCACAATATTTTTAGTTTTTACAATACCAAGATCATCGAAAAGCTTTACAGTAAATGAGTAAAATGCTCTTCTTTGCCTACTCCAGACAAATTCCTTTTTATTCCTAGTTCCCCTGCTTTTCTTTCACTATGGTTTTCACGAGTACTGTTTTTAGACCCAACATAGCATGCAAAGAGCTCAGGAAGCCACAAAAGTGTACACCAAGGCTGAAAACATTTTCTGAAACCAAGCTCTGAGTAGCTAAAACAAAGTGGGGGAGGGGGGGGAGACACACATTAACTTCACTTTGCAAAGTATATGTTGTTCTTATGCTGAATCTCTAAGAACAAAACAAACGCCACGCACTGAGAAGCTACCATAGATTTACCAAAAGTGGCTTGCCTGTCTAACGCAAACGTGGAAAAGGGACGGAATTTGGCTTTGGAACACATCTGCCCGGGCGGCTTTTCTCCACAAAACCTGGCAACGTTTAAGGCCGAATAGTAAACGTGTCGTTTTGCTTACACTAACGTTTTTTAAAGTAGTTTCAAATTAGGTTAATCGCTCGTTCTTTTAAAAATCCTGAAAGCATACTTATTTTCGGTTCGTTTGCCGGTGTGGTATCTATTTTCCTTGCGACATTCTACCTCCTCAGAGTCGATGTGTAAAACAAGCTGATCGGATGGTTCAAGCGGGTTCGGGGAGATTGGGGGCAAGGGCGGGGTCCACCGCGCCCAGCACGCACTTAGACGTTTTAGGATTAAGAAAAATACAGCTCGTTTTTTCCTCGTCTACCACCAACTTTCCATAAAGATGTCCACAAACCTGACTCAGAGCCAGAAAACCAAACACTGTGGGCGGGAAGGGGAAAAAAAAAAAAAAAAGCCTATTACGCAACCATTTCCGTCTCGCCTAGCCAACAAACGTGCAAAGCTGGAGAAAGACACAGACGCCAGAGGAGCGGACATTCTCGCAGTGCGCAAGCGCAGACAGGCCCCGCCCCGCCGTTTGCGCGCCCGCTAAGACACTGCGCGCACACCGGAAGTTAGTACTCGCGGGCGCCGTCCCGGGTTTCTGGTTCCGAGCCCCGCCGGTCGAGGCCCGGTTCCGGCTTTGGCTCCTCCCTCCCACGGGAAATCTCTAGAAGCCTTAATATCCGGGACTAGTGGCTGGCGCTGACGCGCATTTCCGGCGGCGGGCGCGAAAGGTAAGATCCGGTGCCGCCTCTTCCCGTCTCCCCAGCGGCCCGGCCTGTGGCTCTCAGTGCGGCAGCGCCACCTGGTGCCGAGTCACCCACCGCCCGCTGAAGGGGCGCGCGCCCTTCTCGCAGAACCTTCCAGAGAAACTGCGTCCTGCTTCCCCCTCTCCCGCCCGCGTAGATGGAGGACCGGTGTCCCCGCCCCGTCGAGTTCCTGCGCGGCGAGGGTTTGGGGCGTTCTGAGGCGGAAACACGTCCCATGTGGGGAACAAACTGCGACTTTTTTTTCAAAGTTTCAACCCCGGAAGAAACAGTGCACTGATTTTTTACTTCCTCATGCCCGGTTCTTAGTCCCAGTCACCCTGAGTTAATTCTTAGGTGTCTCCTCCCAGGAATCCTCCGTTTTTCGCTTTCTGGGCAGAGGTTACAGTCTTTTAACATTGATTGGTTTTTTTCTTTCTCTGTTGTGTGTTAAGCCAGTGAGGCCCAGCGTTCAGGGTATGTTGCAGATCCCTCAAAGAGAAAATTTAGTAGGTTAGAGAAATTTAAGGACGGTAATCTCAGAAACGCGTATTTTAAGTAACAAGGAAAATAGTGTTCCCATAGTTACGTTTTGTTGGACTGTTGAATATGAAGCTACAGAGGAAAGTGACATGTCTCAGAATTCAGATGTCAGAGCTTACTAACTGCCGTTGGGTGGTACGGTGGTTTTCAGATTTGAGTCGTTATTTTCTGAAAGGCTTGTTAAAGCAGATTATTGAGTTTCAGCTGCAGAGTTTATAACTGGATGAGGAAATATGGGAGTAGAGCTGGATAATTAACGACACTGATAAATTCTAAAGCTATACAGGTGTTGTTGGTACTAGAACCACGCTTGGAATAATTTAAAATTAAGGATTGCTTTGTCAATAGTGCCCTTTGCTATTGCAAGAAACGTGGTTTTAAATTATACTGATGATGCTATAATTGGAAAACATGTAGTCCTGTTGATTTCATGGCTGAGAAATAATAAACTAAGCTCCAGAATCAGAAAAATTAAATACAAATATGAGATTCATATATTAAGGCAAGTATTTCGTATATATTTATTTTATATATGATCATGTGACAGAGGGTGCTGTAACACCAAGAATACTAAATATTTCAGGTGTCCTGAGGTGATTTCTATTCGTGTTAGCTATTGAAAATCAGTAAACCAGAGATGTCTAGAATTGACAAAATAGTTTCAGCAAACATTTCAACTTTACCCTTTGGAAGATGTTTTGTTTTGTTTTTTGTTTTTAAATCTCTTTTTGTATCCGGTGAGATTTTCTTGTTTAACTGCATCTGCTTCTTTCTCTTGCTATGTTAAAATGTACATGATGCTTTCATTTGCAAAACTGAAATTAAAAAGCTTGTCTGTCTCATCTTTTCAGTAGTCCTTTTAAGTTAGTTTTGTGCCATTGTTCCACTGCATTTATTGATTCTGACCTATGACTGAAGTAACTATTATTTTTCTGCTTGCTCCTAATAGAAATACAGGTATTGCTACGTTTGTTGTGTTCCTAGGTGATGCTATTCCTAAAACTGGTAAAAAGTTCATAATTTTTCATTAACATAGGGGACTTTAGATAAAAATAACTGATGCTCCCTTGATTTACAAAGCATTGTGTCTTGACAATCAAGGAAGAAACTGATAAAAGTGCCTTTGCAATGATTCAGCTAGGTTTCTAGCAATCAGTAGCAATTTTAATAAGTTCACTGAAGTAACTAAAGGAAAATGTGATCTTTGAGGAATGAATCCATATTCTTTAAAAATGTAAATAACAAAATTACATCACATCACTATAATTGTGCCTTGTGTGTTTTTATAAAATTAGCTGTTTAATCACAATTGCCTTTTTTAAAAAGATTATTTCTATGTCAGATTTGAGGTTCCCTAAATGAATATTACTCTGAAACAAGTTCATGGATGTTGAGAGTCTTTAGGGAAAAATCCCAGGATTCATTTTCTCTACTTTGCCATGAATGAGCCCAATTTTATAGGATCATTTTTACTCATAAGAAAGCTTTCTTGGTAGTAACCTGCTGAATGAGTTATTCAGACTTAATTTGGTATTCATAGACTAAAATTACTGCATTACCAGAAATAACTGAGTGTTCTAATTTAGAACTTCATTATGCTGTCTGGTGCCACTAACTTTTGGCAAGTTTGCAAACTGTTGCTCTGTGTGCATGAATTCAGGCTGTTAGAATTCTCATAATAGAGGGCTACTTCTCTGCCACTATATCATCAGTGTTACATGAAAATGTTGCAAAATGTTAACTGTTGTTAATTATTACTATTCTTCCACTTACTACATTTTAGAATTATGTGAGGTTATATGTATGCATTTATGATGTTTTTGTAACTATTAGGCATTGTAATTTAACTGATGTTTTCTACCACTCAAGAAGTTTCTTTTTCCTACTAAGCATTTAAACCTTGAACTTCAGGATTTTTCCATCCACTAACTTGACTAGGCCTCCATTTTAAAAACCAAAAGGTAGGGGTGGGGTGGGGGGATAATTGACAGTAACAAGGTATGCCCTAATAGGCTAAATTCCTTTATATTTGAGTAATTATTGCTTAACCATTTAGACTAAGAAAATAAAAGCACATGGTCTACGCTTAACTTTAAATCTACCTTGTAAAAGCTGTTAGAGAAAATCAAGGAATCACTTATAAAACTAAACTCTTTTAGAGTTATGTCAGACTTTTCAACACCAACTTTAGAGACGAAGAGATCTTGAAGTGTTTTAAGACTAAATGTTAGCAATGTCCAACCCAGACTTACATATCCTGCAAAATTTTCTTTCAAAATTGACAGAAATAATGCTTTTCCATGACAAAGAACACTTCAAGGATATGACCACCATATAAATACTACAAAAAATTCTCAGGGATATGCTACAAAGAGCCAAAGAAGCCAACAATGCCAAAACCTCTAACAGAATGAGTATAATAAGCAGAGTGAGCAGGTAAGCAGAGTGGAGTATGGGGAGGAAATCCACAGTAGGAAAATAATGCAATGTCAGGAATACCCAGGCATAAGCAACAAATGGAATTTTCTCCAAAATAGACTACAGACTTACTGTTAGGGCTTGTATCTACCTGTCCTCCCAAAGCCTCATGAACTCCTAAGTATAGAATATTGAAAGTGACTGGATTAAGTGTGTGCTACTAGGATTAAGTAGGCAGATAATGGGAGCTACACTTTAGGTATGAGTGGCACTAATCAAGACTTGTAGCCTGGATGGAATATAAAGGAACAGAGAAGGGAAGCTTTCTGATTGCTGCTGCTGCCTTCTGCCTGTAACACCATGAACTGTTTCCTCTTTTCTGATGGCCCTCTGCTATGCCCACCTGCCTTGGAACCAGCTATGAGTTTTAACACTAGCCTGGGCTACAAAGTGAGAGGACATCTAGAATTGTAAAGAACCCTCCCCCTAAATCAGAAGACCTCTCAAGCAAAAGAGCCAATTAAAAATTGGGCAATTGAAATGAACAGATAATTTTCAAAAGGAAGACAAATGGCCAATAAATAAATGAAAGACAATTATAGAAATGTAAATTAAAACAACATTAAATTCTGTCTTAATGGCCATCATCAAAAAATCAAATAATGCTAAATGCTGGTGAAGCTGTGGAGGGGGTAAGAACCTTTCTTTATTGTTGGTAGGAGTGTAAACTAGTGCAACTATTATGGAAATTGGTGTGGAGATCTTTTAATAAACTAAAACAAGAAATTTCATTCACCCCAGCTATTCTCCTCTAGGTATCTTCCTGAAAGAGTTAAAGACATTATATTACGGTGATAGATACATGCCTATGTTATTAGTAGCACCATTCACAATAGCTAAACCATGAAAGATGCCTTCATGTCCATCAACAGATGATGGATACGAAAATGTGGCATTTTGGGGGCTGGGGATTTAGCTCAGTGGCATAAGCGTCTGTGTTGCAAGCAGGCAGTCATGAGTTCAATCCCCAGTACTGATAAAAAGGAAAAAGACCAAAAAAAAAGGAAAGAAAATGTGGTATTTTTATATAATGGAATATTGCTAGGCCATAAATGATACACTCGAATCAGCTGTAGGCAAATAAAAGTACTTTGAGATCACAATGTGGAGTGAATAAAATCAGACATACAAGCTTAAATGTTTCATTGTTCCTCTTATATGAAAAATTTAAAATATAAATAATACAATAAAGTAGAAACACAAAATAGCAAGAGAGCTTTTGCATGTAGGAAGAGGACCAAGAGTGGGAGGGAAGGTGGGGAGAGGAGAGCAAAAAGTATGCAAGACATTTAAAATGTATTATATAAATGTATCAGTCTACATGAGGACTGATTATCATGTACTATGAACATTTACTAATCAACGCATTACAGAAAAATTGTAAATGGGAATAAAGCCTTAAAAAATAAATCCTTGTAATTAATAATGAAGAAGGAATATATATAAAGTGCATTTCTTTATTACTAATACTACTTGCTATATTTTGGGGAGCATTATTAAATGACTTGTTGACTAACAGTAATTAGTAATTTATGATATTTATTTACCATGGTTGTCAAATAAAATGTATAGGAAATGATGTGTAATTTATCTTTAATCAAAGTTTGGCAGCATTCGGCATAGTAAGTAGATTACAACTCTAGTGTCAAAATTGCTTTTTTTTTTTTTAACTGGGGATTGAACTCATGACCTTGTGCTTGCCAGGCAGGCACTTACACTGCTGAGCTAAACCCCAAGCCCCCAAAATTGCTTTCAAAAATAATTTTATTTCTAATTCTTTTGAGGTCCCATATCTCTCTTAGTTTTTCTGTTTTCCAAGAACATATTGCATATATAGATGAACATCTGTAAAAAATCATTTCTCCAAAGAGAAATGGGAAATAAGCTAATTTACCTGTTACAAATATCTTAGCTGTATAAATACCTTTTATAATATCAGTATTATTTTTACTAAAATTGGTGGACTTGTTAACCTTTTTATTTTATCCTGACACGCTGATATCCATATTTTGACAGCATTGGACAAATTTTCTCTTCTTTGTACTGGGCAATATAGCTTTATTAGCACTGTAAGTTGAATCTCTGTAGCCTTGATACTGCCTTATACTAGTTTTTGTGTTAACAGTTCTCAGATTTTCTAATCTTTTGGTTTAAATTTTAAGTTTTGTATTCAAGTTGCCTCTCATTTTATAAGTTAATTGTTCTGCTGTGTTCATTTTAATGGCCATAGTACTTTATAGTGAGCTAAATTTATTATTGTATTGTCGGAATAATAGGATTTCTTTTTGTGGTCAGTAGAACACTCTGTATACTTATGTTCCAGTTACAACTGATACAATTTCACATAGGTAAGTTACTTAATAACTTTTAAAGTAAGGGTACTAAAGCAGATGATACTTTTCTGGATTAGTACATTTTACTACTTCCTCACAAGATGTGAATATAAGCATATATACATATTGCACTTTTAAAATGTTACCATGTTGCTAAGATGTTTTTCTAGTTTGCTTTTAACTACTTGTGTTTATCTCTGAAAATTAAGAAAATACTAATTTATATGATAGAGAAAATAAAAGGAGAGAAGGATAGTTAGAAAAGAAATAAAGGAATCACCAAGTTTTCTTTATGAAGTACAGGCTTCACTCAATGATAGTTTTAGTTTTAGCTCTCAGTAATCATCTCATTTTAACCAAGTCATTCATATGAACATTAGAACATATCCCAACAGCTAAAGGCAATACAATATTAAATGTAACAATAATTGATTTTTAAATTTAATGTTTCTAGGCATATGATGTCATTTGTTTTGTGTTCACAAATAAGAGAAGTTTGGAAAATGGTTTTGAAGACTACTACTTTTAGAAAATTATTTTTTAAACCTCATTAACCTGCCACATTTATTTGTAGTATTTCTTTGTGTTAGGTCTTGTTTTCCCAAGAGCACTACCTATTTTATTTAACTGATACATATTTGCTTCAAACACAGAACATCAAATTCAAAATACACTTTAGGATTAAAGTGATTCAATCAGAATTGGGGAGTTTAATAAAGCTAGGGAATAGAGAAGTTTAGAAGCCTTAAAGCTTCCTGTATTTGGTATAACTAACTGAATGTTTATGTGTTCTTAAAATTCATATGCTGAAGTCCTAAACACTGGTATGATGATGGCATTAGTATTTGGGAGCTTTGGGAAGTAGTAAGGTTTAGATCAAATCATTAGAACAAAGCCTTCATCATAGGATTAGTGACAGAGAAAGAATAAACAGAGGCAGAGAAAGAATAAACAGAACGAACTTTTCTTCTGTGCCATGGCAGAGTTCCATCCAAGAAGTGAATCAGCTGGCATCTAGACTTGGGACTTGTCAGCTGCCAAACTACAAGTAATATATATTTGCTGTTTTAAGCCACCTGGTCTACTATATTTTGTTATAGCAGTCCAAGGTAAGACATTTGGATATTATTTCAAGTTCTAAGCATTTAATATGCAATAAGAAAGTGCTACTGAAATTGCAGGCAATGTACTAAAGGTAGTTACATTCCCTACATAGAGCTACCGTACTCAATGGTCTCATCCTGGTAAGTAAGACATTAATTATTAGTGGAATACTCTTAGTTTATTACATATTAGTTTCTAACTTCAAACATTTTCCTTCTGGTAGAACTTCAACTTAAATTCTCAGACTTTAATTTCGATTTTGTTAAGAAAAAAAAGTCTTGTATGGACTGCTGAGAGGCTTAATATTTTAAGGAAGCATTATTTTCAAAGAAAAATAACTAGTCTTCCAAAGAAGAAAGGCCTGGATGTATTAAGCCTACCCCTTTGCACAGAACCTAGGGTGGTTAAAAAAACAGCAACAACAACAACAACAACAAAAACATGGCAAATGCTACAACAAAATGTGAATGTGGAAGAAGTAAAAATGCTCAATCTTACAAACTATAGGTCACAAAAAATTACTTTCTTCATATATCATAAAAATTATTGCAAAGAATTTGAACAGGTCACTATAGCAACAGCGCAGAGAAAATTTGCCTATTTTGACTCTGCAAAACTAACGAATTTATTCATAATGTCACAGAGAATTCATTTGTACCCAATTTTAAATTCCCCAAATATCTCATTACTGATTTTAATATAAAAATATTTCAGAGTCAGTAATATCACCAGCTAAGTTACAGCTTTTTGTGGTTATGCTTTCATTAGACTGAGTGGATTTGCAACACATAAAATCAGAACCCTTCAAATAAGCCCCACATAATTAGATTATATTTAATTATTGTTTGGTTTGAATTCTTTCTATCTCTTTTATCTTGCAATCTGTTGACAATAGCTCAGCAGACTTAAATTTTTGGACTGATGGCATATTTTTTCATGCATTCAGTGCAGTCTTTAATAAGCCTTACAAAGTATTATTTCTATCAGAAGCTACTGCCACTAGCATTGCATTAAATAACTGTAAGTATCTCGCTTTTCTATTATTTCTTTAACCTTTTCTAGTTTTAGATTGTTACAGATGCACATACGCTTATAAAGATACTAATCCAAATAACTTGGAAGGAATTTTTTTATGGTTCTGGATTTCTAATGGATGGAAAATGAAAATAAACTCCTAAGTGCTAGGGGTGTAGATCCACTAAAGAATGTGTATTTGGAATTCTTGAGGCCTTGGGTTCAGTCTCTAGCAAAACCACATGACAGCCTGAATGTTGATTTAAATTAAAAAAAAAGAAAACTTAAAAATAAAGTTTATTTAGTTTGCTGTAGGGTTTATAATCTTTGTAGGAAACAGACATTTTGGGCACTGATAAAAAGTTTTTTATTTGAATGGTTTCTACTGTTCATTTTGCAACAGCTTGCAATTTAAAGATGTTTTGCTGTTATAGACTGTTAATGCCTGTGTCACTGCTGGAAATACTGTTTATCTTATTATTTTCTAGTTGCATAACTTAGAAATGCTTCTTGTATTTCACTGCATGTTTTTGTGAGTGACTTCAGATATGTGTTACGATTCCAAGCTATCTTCCTGAAATGCATTATTGACTTCTGCCAGTTTATTGAATTTAATACTATGAATAACTTCAGGTTGCCCTTCATTTAAATCCTCCTAAATTAGTTGCATCTCCCAGATACTTTCTTGTAATCCAAAGATATGAAAACTGTTGCACTAGAATGTTTTGGAACAGCACAAAGAATTTACAGCATTAGTAAAATAGTTCCAAAGGTACTCATTTAATAATTCCACCCTGCAGCTATTTGTAACACATAATATGACTAATGTGTTGTTATTTCTTTATGCTTAAATCACAACCAAAGTTGTAACATAATAAAATTTGGCCTTCCGATTTTTTAGTCAGGCTGACAGAACTGATTATCTTTTTTTTTTTTAAACTTTAACATTTTATTAAAATAAACTCATTTCAAATTTTTCAAAATATTCATAGCTGAGGTAACATTTTTTATCTCTTTCCTGAAAAAGTTTATGATCCATAATTTCCATTGTGGTCATTCCTCAGTTAACTCTAAATGATTGTTTAGCTGCCTGTATCTCTTTGCCAAAAGACTTCACTCACATTTTTTTCTTTCTTTAGAATAATAACCTTCCATTCTTTTATATCCAGTATCTACCAAGCAGTATATCCACATTACATGGCTTTTTCTCCATGAAGCCTACTGGAATTCTCCACAAAAAACAAAACAAAAAACAAACAAACAAACAAAAAACCTTTTTCTCCTGAGATTATGTAGTACTTATTGTACATTCTCAACTTCATATACTTTTTAATTAGGTACATTTAAAAAATTATGCACCATTAAACTTTGAAAGATCTAAGAATGCTATCTCGTTCATATTTGTATGCCCTAAAGTGCCAAGTAAGTTATTAATCTGCCTGTTAAATAAATGAATTAATTTAATCTAAACTGGTCCATTAAAAAAGAAATTAGGAAGCTGTGTTGGTATGATCAAAATTGCAAGTCCAGCCTGGGCAATTTAGCAAATTAGTGAGATTCTGTTGAGAGGAAGAGGAAGAGGGAGACAGAGAATGAGGGAAGGAGGGATGGAGGGAGAGGCAAAGAGACACAGAGCTGGGGATTTAGCTCAGTGTGGGGCCTGGGTTCAATCCCCAGGACCACCTCTCCCAAAAAAATTCACCTTCACATATACTTTACATAATATAATATCAATTAATATATATAGATAAAATAGAGTTTCTTAACATAATAATTGGAAGCTGGGAACAACCAGGGCAGAATTGTCACAGGGCAAAATTAGATTTAGCATAAGCTGTTAGAGGAGTCAGGAATGAATGTACTAAGATACTGCTTAGGTTTTTTTTTCAGTTTTATTTTATTTTTAACAGCTTTGTTCATTTGTTTAATCTAAAAAATATATTTAAAAGTTGTATTTTAAAACTTGTATTTGGTGACCCTAAATAGAAGACCACACTGATAATGAAACAGCAGCTTTGTTACCTTTGGTGAATTTTTTATGAGCTATCTAAAAAGATGTATCTGACAAATGTGTAATATACTTGATGACTCTAACTAAAGGGCCATGCTGGAAAGTTAATTTACCATGGAATTTGTGACCTTTGAGAACCGCTGTGATAGATGACTTGAGCCTCTGAACCCAGGAATGGCGTAAAAGGAAACATGAATTACCAGTAGGTCATCACATCACTCACTCATCCAGCCCAGGACTGAATAGATCTAAAAATATGCCACAGAAGGGAATGGTTATTGGCATTAACCTCAGTCATCAGTCAGTTAGGAAGTGTTAACTGTGCAAGAATTTTGTTAAGAATTTGATTTGTAATTGATTACTCATTTTGTCTTTTGAACTATAACCTGTAGGTTATATAGGTCTAGATTAGATGAAATGAATAAAGAAACTTGTGCTTATTTGTGTTAAAATCGTATCATCTGAAGAAGAAATCTACATGTGGCTGTATTCTAAGAGCATCAGATTTAAAGTAATGAATAGTGTACCTCATTTGAGTTGCTTACAGTAGGCCTTCCTGTAGAAAAAGGCATCATGAAGACCCCATGAAAGACGTGGCATAGGAAGTCATAACTCTTAGGTATAGCTGTTACGCTCAAGTGCTGGATTTTGGGGGGACCTGTGTTTTTCTGTGAGTTGGGTATTAATATCCTTAATGCTTTGGATATGAGTCATAAAATTTTAAAACATATTGTGATACCTATAGCTAATTTAAACTTTAAAATTCTGGTACCAAGTTGACCCCCATTCGAAGTCTTACTAAAGAATCCCATAATTACCACCACTATTCATGGCAAGAACAAATATACATGATTTGAACTGAAAACAAAACTTAGGAGCTACCATTTCACATATTAATAAGGGTCATTTCTGTTATCATTAGGTAGCAGCTCACCATTAGATGGTTGGCTTTTTGATCACTTTTGTCCTTTCTTAGTTTGTTGCCAGAATGTTTACTGACATTCTCTGAATAACATAAGGCTTTCTTTTTTGTAAAGGCTTTTCAAGGGAAATTTCCCAAATGAGGTTCCTTTAAATGTTTTCTGGAGGAGCAGCTGGGTGAAGACATCCATGGCCTAATGCTTGCTTTCTTCTCCCCATTCATCAAATTAGATGCTTATCATAAGACAAATACTGAGTCCTCCAACAATGGTATATGTGGAAGGTTGGAAAAAACGTGTTGGGCTTTTTTTGGGATTTGTTTTGTGTTTTCCTTTTCTTTCTCGTCCTCTTCCACCTCCTTCTCTTCCTCTTCTTCTTTTTGCATTTTCTTTGATGTATAGACGATGTATAGATTTTTCAAAGATGTATAGAAGGACATGAGTGACTAAATACAAATATTCAACTACCAGAATAATAAATGATGTGTTCCCTATGATGTGGTTTTTAAAAACATCACTCATATTTTTATTGGTAGATGGCCTGAGATCTTATGTCTTATTTTAGGTTTCCCTGATGAATTCTTTGGTACAGACTCCACTTCTGTGGAATAGATAAAAATTCCCAGTTGTAGTGTCTGGAAAACTCTTCTGTGCACATTTCGAAGGTCCTAGGTACTTAGTAGATTCATAAGGGCAAGACTTCTGATTCTTTCTGAAGGCTTGAAATTACAGTGTTATGAGTCATATCCATTAAGAAGGCCATGTAAGATAATCTACATTTAGAAATAGTGTAGCACTTAAAATTTACAGTGTGTCTTGTCGCAGTTACCAAGATGAATTGCTCACAAAGTAAACCAAGGTCTTTCCCTAAAATGAATGCCACAAATTACGCTTATTTTGTTTTTAAGAATGAAAGAAATGAATACTCAGATACAGTTAAAAATCAATGTAGCATTTGAGTACTATATTTTTTCTATGTACTTTATATATTAGTTGTGTAACTTAAGTGGCCAAATCTAAGCATCAGCGTTAGGACCTTGGACTGTGTTTCCTTCTCTTC